GCAACAATTAATAAACAGTCCAGAAAAGCATCACTGGGACTTTGCCTCCTGATCCTAGGAAGAGGGACTGGCTATAGAAGAGTCTCAGTGAATTAGTTTAATCTAATTCTGGCCTGATATGGTAAAAAACACACATGCTCTAGAACTGTAGCTCTCACAGTCTGAGGTCTGATGCATTGTTCATAGTTCAATAAGACTAAAAAAGAAAAAAAGTACCCTTCTCTCCATGTTAAAAATTTTACCCCTGAAGGAATTATCCGGACGGTCTTGTGCTGGATTTATAATCTTACACCCACAAATGTCCAAGACGTTGGATTAGATGGGAATAAACGCAGAGGGATGCTGGAAGGACACCAAAATGTCTGCTCTCCTTCCTGCCCAATTTGGTCCACTGTAAATAAAACTTGACAGGCTTTCTTAAATCAACTTAATAATGTGTAGCACAAGTGCTTTCAGATGCCCAGGAGCTAAACCACATCAGCTTTCTTAGGAAGCCTTCTAGCAAGAGGGAAAATAATGGATACTGCCAAGAGTGTCGTGCACGAGAGAGCTGGTGGCCTTGAGTGACTCATTCACAAGGCTCCATCTATCTGTACTGGAAGGTCAAATGTGGAAAGGAGTTGGGCCTTTAATAACCCAACTCAGGCCTCAGACTGATTTGTTAAAGCCAGACGCTGTCATGTTGGAAGCAGATGAGAACACAGTTATAATCGATCTGGAATCCTGATGAATTCCAGGTGCACCTCCCAGCAGCCCGGGGGAGCTGGTAGCTCACAGCCCTCAGAGGGTTTTATTACTGTCATAGGAGGTGATTCTGTTGCAGACGCTACGAGATCTCGGTACATTTTCCCCTTTGATTTCAAATGGGAGGGTTTTTTGGGGATTTTTTTTTTTTTGCCATTTTGGAAACTCGTAAAGGCAACTTCAGATATATCAAAGAACATAATGGAAAAAAGAAGGAAGACCAAGAAAAACTGAGGAGAGCAGGCCTAGATAGAAGGTTCCTAAGGAAATTGCATTAAATAGTGTTTATGACTCTCCAGTGGGGCTAGCTGATGTCCTTAACCAGTAAGTACCGTTTTATGACCCAGCAAATTGCTAGCTACGGTCCTTGCTGTTTGAGAGAGGAGAAAAAGCATGACCAGACCCCCAAATAGTGTTTATGGTGGCCAGGCCGTGAGGGCACAGCCTGAGAGCTGAGCTACGTTTTAGGGGCAGCTTCCCATTTTCCGGGCCTGTTTCTCGAGGCTCCTTGTCACTTCTGCGCACTTTTCAACAGCCTTCCAATCAACCTTTTCCTCTGTATGGTAGAGTCTTTGCTTCTTGCAAACAAGACCCTGAACTAAAGGAAATGCCAAAAGGATGACCTTGACTTCCAAATGTTTTTTTCTGTCTATTAGGCCAAATGCTCAAAAATATATAGTTGCCATGCAACTAAAAAAGTATCGATTTAGGGAAGATGGTAAGATGTCCTCCCACATGGCTAAGCTAGCCAGTAAGAAAAAACATGACTCCTTGTTCTCACCCTTGTTCTCAACTTAGGACCGTAAATCTTCACAAAGAGATGTTTTCAACACCAAAACCAGATTCATTAATTCTCTTTATTTGAAAAAAAGATTTTTTTAATCTTCACCCAAGGATATGTTTATTGGTTTTTAGAGAGCAGGGAGGGAGAGAGAGAGACTGATATGAAAAACATCAATCAGTTGCATTCTGTATGTACCCTGACCGGGGGATTGAACCCACAACCTAGGTATGTGCCCTGACTGGGAATCGAACCTGCAACATTTTGGTGTATGGGATGATGCTCCAACCAACTGAGCCACCAGTCAGGGCTGGAAAAAAAATTTTTTTTAAACTATAGAATTCAAGGAAAATAACGGTTGATTTAACAGTTTAGTTTTCATCTGCTCACTACTATACTCATATTGTCAGGTATGTCACAAATGACGGCTGGTACAAGTTTACCACCTGAATTAATGTATTAAAATTCATTTATCACCATATATATACATTGAGATGTTTACTCAGTAAATCAGGCTTAGGCTCCAACCCCTACACCCCCCAAAAGTAAGGCCTTGGGTTAATATTCTTACCACTCTCAGATATCATCATATTGAAAGTGCTCCCTTTTTTCCTAAAATATGTACTTCGGATATAAGACATGCAGCAAGATTCTTTGCAAAAAAGAGAAAAAGAAAGTAAAAGAAAGCCAAAGTTGCTGGAATTCTGAATATTAACTGAAATATGAGAATTATATAATCATACATACAAATCTATCAAGAGGTAAAAGATACTTTCCTTCAATTTACATTGGAATTAAGGAGTGGTGGTCACATAGGACAGAATGGGTTTGCTGGCTGAAGAAATAGAGGGAGGAAATTCTGCTCTATGTATAACATGTGTGGTCTTTAAGTGTTCTTTTAGCAGCTGGTGCCACATCGTCACAGTGTGTGGTGCTCTACCAATGATCAAAGCCCAAGGGTCTGGCTACTCTACTGCATATTACTTTATGTAAAAATAAATACTGGTGCCTGATACTGAACCCCACCACCACCATACCCCATTTCCCACTGTAAAGACAGGGATTACCCCTCCGTCCTTCTTAAGGAGATGAATGGAATCTTAATTTACTAAATGGAATAAAAAGCTTTAAAAACAATCTTCTTGTGGGCAGACTCCTCTTTGGCCCCACTCCCTGGTATCCTGGTACCTGGTATGGTGTTCTCTCTGCCAGAAGCAGCTCAATAGGTATTACTCACTGACCAAAACCCTATTTGCACAGGCATCTGAGATCATAGGACAACTTTTCCTAATCAGGAACAGCTGGTTCCCAAACCACCCTAAACCCAAAAGATTCCAATGACATTTTGGCTAAAAGATTAAAGAATACACCCTTCACTGTGATGTTTAAGAAAAATAAGATCCACTCACATAAAGAAGGGAGAAAAAGAAAAAAGGCAGAAATTTAAAAGCCTCTGGGCTGTGAGTGGCATTACTTTTTTTTTTTTTTTTAAGAAAACAAGATTGATACAAAAACACTTTTTCACCCTAAGACCGAACAGGTAAATAAGTTGATGCTCTTGGGACCTATCCATGAGAATAAGGTTTCTCAGGGGCATGCGCCCGCCCTGTCCTCATCCACATGGCTATAAGAATAATCCCTTTGCTTGGTCTGTCCACCCAGGCACCACAGCCTGAGGTTAATGCAGGCCAGCAGCACACACAGAACCAGCTCTGTCCTTGTCCCTTCTCCCACAGGGCATAGTTTCTTGCAGATGCAAATGCCTGTCTAAGGAGAATCAGAACTTCAACACCCACCATTACTCTTACGTAATTACAGAAATGAAGCAGATTTTAAAGCTCTAAAAATTCAAAGTCAAAAATTAATTAGTTCTCATCACAACTAGCCAGTTATTAGATTGTTTAATTAAGCACACACTATACTCTAAATGCCTAAGCCACATACAATGCTAACACCAGAAAACCAAAACTCATTTTCTGTAAGTATTTGTGTACCTATTACATATGAGAAAAACATTCTAGCTTACCTAAGGGAAACCAAAATTAACATTCATCTCATAAATGGCTGACTTTAATTAACATTGATTCTATACAATTACAATTTCAGGACATAATTTGACCTGCAGCATAATCAGGTGCTTGTTATATAGCTTATATTATAACAAGGGTCAGTGATAATAACAAGGGTCAGTGATAACTGCAGAGTAATTGTTTCTAGTATGAAAAAGGTGTGCTATGTGATAACGTTCACAGGAGGCAGGGTTGGGGGTGTGTCTCCAAGGTGCTAACTCAAGATTTCCCTCAGGAGATTCATACAGAACTGAGCCCCAACATCACCTGAAACGAAGTGCAGAATGAGGAACACTAAATCCTGACCCTGGCCTGTGTCTGTCTCTTATCTGGCTATATGACTGTGGCAAACAATATATCTGAAATTTTAGTTTATTCTTCTGTAAGAGGAGAAATTGATATTTGCTTCACTGATGTTCTTATAGAATCCAATGATTTCCTGTGTTTCTGGCACAGCCCTAGCGTATATAGTAGGTCCTCAATACATACTAGCTGTGTTCTACTCCAGAGGCTCCCGGAAAAGATGAGAGAAAGTTTGGAAGTCTCTGGAAGTCTCTCTCATCTGCATTTTAATCTAATTTGGGTCTTAATCCAGAAGTATTTGGAAACAAATGGGATTGCCAGAATAAGGCACAACATGGCTGAGGATCCTATGGTAACCTCCAAGCACCTTCAATTACTTCTGTAATGTCTCTCGCCTCAAAGTAGCCTCCGGTGTCAGGCACACACTAGGAGACCTAACAGGCTCTCCCCTTGGCAGTATAGCGTTGCACACCACCACCTCGGGAAACTGGCTGTCATTGCAGTTTTGACGTCTTCATACTTTGGGTCAGAACACTTGGTATCACACTATTCATATATAATTGTTTCCTCTTTTGCAGTCATTTAATTTCCATTTTCAGTGATGAATGTCCATCAGTTTATTGTTTTCCTGTGACAGGATCCCCTGGCTAAGAATACACACTGCTGAAACTGGTGCCTGTGTAGATTTGCTAAGTTTCTCATAGTATCCAGCAAAGTAATGATAATACATGTGATTTATGGAAAATAACTATAAGGAAAGAGTTCATGGAGCTTACATGGTGGATGCTCAAGTATCAACCACAATGAAACTACATACATTTAACAAAACCTGTTTTCAACTTGGCTATCCCATGTTCTCTAAAGAAAAATGAGTACTGCAAATAGTTTTTAACTTTTCTCGGAAATGACACACCAAAGAAAGTTTAATGCATCCATTTAAACTACTTAGACTAATCATTACTCCCTCAGTGACGTCTTAGAAAATTAACTATTATACCACTTAGACCCGAGAATAAATAAAAAGATTAAATCATTTGGTTCAAAGACGTCCAAATACAAGACGTTTGTGTGAGGATTCTTTTTAAACCTCAAGAGTCTCCTACCTCCTTAAAGTTGTCAAATGCTGATAAAATGATTTCGTGCCCGCCTCTGACAAGACAAACAGCTGCCAGCAATTCTAACACAAGGGCTTTTGTTCTGTCAAAACAAGAAGAAAAGGAAAATCACAAATCAGTGAAAGTGACAAGATGAATCAGCTGTTCTTGATTCCAAGATCAATATGGTAATGAAATATCTGTCCATGTATGTTTTTCAAACTTTCACTATGATGTAGGTATACAAAATTACATATTTAAACATTTACTTACTTAAATAACATGTGATTTATCTAGGGTAGAAAATTTGGAAGGCATGTTTCCCACCCCCTAAATTACAAATTACTCACTAATGAAAATTAATTCTGGGAAGATTAGTCTTTTAGTCCCACCATCAGAATACTCAGTACAATATAGCTGAAAAAGTTTTACTAGTGAGATAAAGACAAAAAGAAACTTGGGAATATTCAGGAAAACAAACCAGTATTCAAAAACTGTCTCTGGTTTTAAAGTCAGAGATACAATATTTGCCAAGAAAGTTCAAAATCAATTGAAATTAATGTTCTACATTTCAAATCTGCCAATTTGCACATGGCCCCACAAAAATCCCCTACAGTAATGCAAGTTTCCATCCTTTCTTCTTCCTCTACAGGAGATCTGAAAGGAGCTGGGTTTTAGCTCTACAGATACAAGGATATTTTCTGTGACTCAAGAAAAGAAAATAAAACTCTTGTCTGAAATATTTTTAGAAGGAGAACCTAGAGACACAGTCCAAGTTTTTTAACACAATGTCAAGGACAGCATTGTTTCTTCATCCTAAGATGACTTCAGTATTTCACCATTTTCTGGACCAAAAACTACTACTGACCTCTTAACAAAGACCGTTCTGATAACCACAATGTCAATTATCGTAAGAAAAATGACTCATGACTTCCCTGTGAGGGAGGGCAGGGACAAAGAGAAGCACGACTGCTTAGGATTCCAGTAAGCTAAAGAAGCAATGACAAAGGTCCAAAGGTTTTCCTCAGGGAAGTCTGAAAGATATCAACATCTAAATAGGACTTCACAGTTTACATTGTATTCCAAATCAGAAAGCATCTAATTTATAACCAGATTCCTTTATTTGAATTAACAGTTTTCTGATACATATTCTATATAAAGTTATCTGATAAAAGGGAACAACACATTTCAGGTGCAGAATGCCTCACCAGAATGTAAAACATGTTAGAATAACTAAAATAAACTAATGGAGACAGGCATCTAGAAGGAAGCTGTGATGGGAATAACACACGGCACTGGCTTTTATAGGAAACTGAATACAAAGGGGAATGTGCATACACAAGTATTTTTTTTATTTGTCTTTCTTTTTTTGTTTGGTAACAGCAGATACATATGTAAATATTGCAAGCTAGGTGTAGACAAGGGATCGTGGTTTTAGTTAGCTTTTGGCAATTCCTGGTGCAGCTAAGTCTGTATCAGTACTGGCATCCTTGCAACCTCACACTCTCCACAGATTTTGCTACATTTGCAAAGATGCTGAGAAATAGGCCTCAAAAGGAATGAAAAATTAAAGAGAAGAAGGAACGGCTGGAGTTGTCACCAGCCGCTGAACTCTGCCATATATAAGAATGTAACTTAGCTGTTCTACAGTGGCCGAGGAATCTACTGACAATGTTATTTCAAAGAGCTGCACTTGAAAGTTTCCAAGCTCTACCTTAGTTAAGTGTTAACTAGCTCTCTCGTTAGATTTAGGCTTGTACATTACAACTCAAGCTTACCTTGGATTCTTGTTGTTCAAGCTTAGTGCAATCTCGTTGACAGCATGTGGATGAGACATGACCATGTTGAAACCATACTGAAATGAATGTGGAAAAAAAACAAAGCTTTAGCAGTCAGTTTAGGGGAGTGACAATGTTGAATAAAAACAAAAAACTGAAATTTCCATCTACTGTAATTTCTACCATCATAAATGCATTGATGTCTCTCGTATATCAGTCTCTAAACATATTCCCTAGAAAAATTTCAGGAAGCATGCTACTATTAAGGGACCCTATTTCCATTCGTTATGACTGAACTCCCTGTTTCTCTTCATTAAAATGGTGCAAAAGCTCCCAGCCAGGAATTTTCACCCCTGGTTGCTCACTAAAATCACCTGCAAGAGCAAACAAAACAAAACATGGACTGTCACAGACAGGACCCTGGCACTGGAATCTTTTCAAGCTTTCAGAGGGACTCCGCTGTCGGCCCAGTGGATCGCCACTGCACCTGCGCTGGCTCTGCGCAATGTCTGACAGGACTGAAGCTGAGGTGCACCTGTGCCGCTCTGAGGCCTGTTACTTCGTCCTTCTATTCAATGAAGTTCAACAACAGGCTCAAGAATCATTCTTGCTTCTGCTGACCTGACGAATTTTTCCTTTCCCTCCAAACTTGCCTCTTAGCTCATGACCTTATTTCCAATGACACTGAGAAAATATAAGCAGAAAACAACTTCCAAAAGCTTCCACCATCCCATGAACCCGCCCACATAGATGTGTGGATTACCTCCTCCCTTCTTCCTAAAGACAAACTCTCCCATGCTCCAACCTAGGACCAATCCCTTCATTTGATTCCCCGATCCCATTCCCTCTCCCTACTCAAGAGCACATCTACTCCAGCAATTCTCCCATCCCCTATCATCATTTTTCTCTCTCTGATTCATTACCATTAACATAAAGACATGATAGAAATTATCTTACCCTAAGCAACCAACAACAACCAAAAATCTCTCGACCCTCTGCCCAGTGTCCAGCTACTGCCTCATGTCTCTGCTCTTTTACAGCAAAACTCGAACACTCAGACTCCCATTCTTCTCCTCCTGTTCTCTCCTGACGCCACTCCAACCAGACATTTCATCACCACCACTCCAGGGAAACTGCGCGTGCCAGGATCACCAACGTCCCACACTTTGCTGGAGCCAATGGTTGACCCTCACTCATCTTACATGACGTAGCAGCAGCACCGGACACAGTGAGCACGCTCTGTCCTTGGCATCCACCTCCCTGCCTACTTCTAATTCTTGCTAGCTAGTTTTTCCTCATCGCTCTGACATTTAAACAGAATGCCCCGTGGTTATCTGGAACCTCTTTGCTTCTCTGCATATCCCTGTTGATCACACTTCCCTGGCTTCACATCCCATCTATTAACTTCCAAATTCATATCTCCAGCCAGACCTCTGCCTTGCACTCGAGATGGAATGTCTGAACACCTACTCAAGGTCTCTATTTGGATGTCCTTGGACATCTCAAAGTTAACACCCTCCAAAAAGAACTCCTAATCATGCGTCCCAAATCCACTCATCTGGCAGCCTACCCTATCTTAGTAGACATCATCTCCACCAAACAGGGGCCAGGACGAACACCTTGGAACCCTACCCCGCACCACTATCCAATGCCACCACCCCCCACCACTATCCAACGCCATTGCCTGTACCATCAAACTCAAAACAGAATCCAGCCACCTGTCATCATGTCTACTCCCACAATCCTCGTCCACACCACCATCAACACTCACCTAAATTAATGCAACACCCTCCTAAATGGTCTGCCCCCTTTTGTCTTTGCCTCTCAAGATTAATCCTAAACACACAGACCAGAGTGATCATGTTAAATTCAATGTCAGATCAATTCACACTCTTCCTCAGAACGTATTAGTAGCTTTTCATTCATACTGAAGCCAACGTCCTTTCACGGGCTTGTAAAGCCCTACACAATCAAGAAGTCCTGCTAGCTTCAGTTTTGTCTTCTACTTTTCCCTCTTCCTCATTCTGATCCAGCTGACCTGCCCTCTTTTCTGTACCTGGAGGACATCAGACTTATTCCTGTCTCAGGGCCTTTGCTCTCGCTCTCTTCTCTGCCTGGAATCTTCTTTCAATAATATCCCTTACCCTGTCACCTCATTTAAGTTGTTACTAAAATGTTATCTTCTTGGTGACACTTTCCTGGATGGCCTATTTAAAACAGAACCCACATTTTTATCACTGCCTATTTCTATTTCCTGATTATTTTTTCTACAGCACTTAGTAACAATTTTTGGGAGCCAGTCTTGATGGGTTCAAATCTGCTCCATCACTTATTAGCCATATAATCCTGGGCAAATTACTTCTTTGTCTAGTCCCTCTCTCAGTTTTCTCATCAATAAAATGAGGAGAGTAATAGCATCAATCTCACAGGACTATTATGAGATTTACATTAATTAATAGGTTTAAAAGCACTAAACCGATAGGAAGTACTTATATGTTAGCTTTCATTTCATCGTCATCATCATTATCTGGAACACTATAAAGTTTACCAGTTATTTATCATCTGACTCCCTCGCTAGAAAGCATGTTCACTAGGATATTTATTTTTTTTTAACACTTTTTTCCCTGTGCTAAGAACAGGGTCTGACAATGCTCAAAAATATTAAATGACTGAAAAAGGATAAATGTATGTTTCCCTTCTTTAACTCAATTCAGCACCATTATGTTGTGTTTGAAGTCAAGTACTGACCCCCTACATACATATTTATTTTCCATTTCTTCTTGGATCCACCTGTAGCTTCCTTATAAATGGAAATCAAATCCTATTTTTATATATGAATTATGTTTTTCTAATTCTCACCTTGGTTTGCCTATCTAGTTACTGTGGACCATGTCAGTTAACTGGCTATCCCAGGCTTTAACTTCCACTTTGTGGTTAGGATTAATCCAACCCACACACTGCGCTCTCCCTCCTCTTGTTGCTCAGAGTGGAGATAACCTACATCACAATCACCTGAAGAGGCATCTGTATTTGCAACCGGAAGCCCCATGTGCTTCTTACAAATATTAGGACCCACTGGGTCCAGCAGACAGAAAGTGCAACTTCTTGCTTCTTCACCACAGGACACTTTGAGAACCGATGATCACCCCTTGTGTGAGTCTGTTCATTCCAAATGTTCCACAGTTGTCCCACTGCTGTCCACGACCAATGGCTTACGCCGTCTTAACAAGTCACAAACATTTACCAAGTAACCTAGACAAGTGTATCACTGTAGAAGGCAAACCTCCCCTTTAAATACATTATCAATGCAAATTAAAATATGAGGGAAAGGAATTAAATCTTGAGTATTAGAACAAACCAGACCTTTTCCAATAGAATCTCATTAAATCCTTATATTTACTTCAAATAGAAATAATACAAGGAAACCAAAAAGAACAAGATTGGAGTCTGACAAATTCAGATTTTTGTCAAGGATGAGAAACAGAAACATACCTGATAATTCATGATGGCACGTAAACACATGATACAGACATGCACGTCATCTTTCTTACTGACTAATCTTGAATTTTTCAAGGTTCTTCTGCTTGGCAAAGTATTATATCTATAAATTAAAAAGAAAACTTCTATAAAACTATAGATTACACTCTTAGCATAGGCACAAGCACTTACAAACATGGACATTGTTCTCAACCTTTACCTGTACCTATTTGAGGACTGCAGGTCAAAACCACAAATAAACCCATTACCAAAAAGCTATCCCTGTAGCTGTGAGATGCACATAATTGTGTGTACCAGTTACCACTTGCCGGGCCAGATACCCATAAACAATGAAACTCAATGCCACTCAAACATGTAACAAATTGGACTATGTGGGACCCAACAATCCCCAGCTCCTGACCAGTAGGTCAAGCAAGATTTGCAGAGATGATCTGAGACAACATGCATGTAGACTGCATTTGCAAACAAGTGAAAGGACAACACTTAGCTCATATATAGACCTCACGGACATTATTTTAAATGCATCTTGCCATGGTGCTCGTAGGAGTCCAGGATTCAGAGTTTAAGCGTAGGCAAGGTTACGCACCAGCAACTTTGATAGCAGCCTGTGTTATTAGACCTTAATGGTATGCATAGCCTTAATTGTACATAAATGCCTCCACCGCCTGAGCCCTCACCTAAAGCCTGCAATGGCAGCTGAAACTTGGATAGGAATATGCTGATATTTCACAGGGTTAAGATGTTTCAATGTTAGGATCTACTCTACAGGCCCAACACTGCTAAGCCTTAGTAGTTGTGTGTGGAGATTTATCAGAGCCTGCATGCAGTAAAGAAGTGACAATGTAAACTTTGTTAAAGTAACTTGGTGCAGGTGGAAGACATGACAACACCGAAGGCAGTTTTCTCTGAAACTCCAAGCCAGAAATAAAGCAAATTTCAAAAGTTGTCAACTACTTTCTTACAGAGTCAATGGCAGAAACGTTCTACAAAATAAGCTATAGCCGTTCCTTTTCAGACTGAACTAATTTAAAATTTTAAGGACGTTAGGATTAACACAGTTTTCAAAAGTTCCACAGGTGCAGGCTAGAAGTTGAAAACTGAATTGACAGTTTTGTTTGAGACTGTTCAGCTGAGCAGCCTGTTTTAATTTTATTTTCTATTAAAAAACTGTCAAACGAAAGAAGAAAGATTCTATCACATGAGCCAAGTAAATTTTTGATAAAGAGTAGAATACACCACTTTCCTCAATATACCTGAATGTGTAAAACTTAGCTTGCTCACCATGCTGGTTATAAGAAGAATGCTTTATTCAAGGACTTCCTACGATATTCACACTGGGAAATATTTCAGCAATGGAAGTTGGGCTCATTCATTTTTTAATGCAAAAACAAAGTTAAGGAAACAAATGCAGATTTTGGTGCTTGTAAGTCCCACTTCAACATCTAAAATGTGACTTTAAAATGTGTCACTTTGCCATAACCCCTACCGAAGCAGGACTGCTAACACAGTTGATGGAGGTCTCAGAGAGACTGGTGCCCCTTCAAACAATGACCACACGCCAGGGTGGCCCAGGAATATGCAATCTTTTTAGTCCGCATTTGAAATTCTGTCCCTTCCTCCACCATTCTTATTTTAACATCAGTTTTGTGCTTCTTTAGTGAAATCACTTGTTAAGTATAGAATAGTTGATTACAGGGATAGTTAGTTGTCATTATTAATTAAATGCAATTGTTACTAGTGCACAACTATCTAAGAGTAAGTTTAAAAAGAAAAGGTGATGTCGAGAGAATCAATTGTCCTTTGCTAAATTTTATATATGTGCAGCAATGACTGCAGAAGATCTACTGGCTGAAGCAAACTACTCTTCAAGAAGGCTGGGCAGGTCATTCTACACGGTCACACATTTCTGCTCCACTTCAAAATAAATTTTAATGATTCCAGCAAGTGGATCAAATGTATGCATTGATGGTGTTTCCTAAGGGATGTAAAGTAACACAGCAGGTTCCTTACTTTTATTTATTAATCTAGTTCTTCAGCTACAGTTTAATACTCTAAAGAGCCAAAATGTCTTTGTCATTACTTGCAGAAACCAGCAAAAATTGATTAATTAGGATAGTATTCTATTTACTAAACATTAACACAAAAGGCTTCTTGTTGCAAATGGTTAATTCAAATATATGCTTTGGATCAACACTTAAAATATATTTAATATGAAATAGCACATGCATAGTTATCGATATTAAGGATTTTAGAAACTATACAATATAAGGTGTCAATGAACAAAGATAATGTATTTTCTTTATTAATGTTAGTCTATGGTTAAAAAACCATAGAGCTAAAGCTTTTTACTAAAGTGCATGGTATTTAAAATTATTTTTCTCCAACTTTTGGTTTATTTGGGTATTAAAGCCAACATTTGAACTTGTATTTAAATCATAGCATTACAATAAATACAACACACCACTACAACCAATAAGAACAAGAATCAGAACAAGAACAGAGGAACGAGATCTGTGATGTCATTTCCACCTACCTTTCCTGGCAGAGGTGAGAAAACTGAAGCCCAAAGAAGCAGACCCCCATAGCAAACAGAAGGAAGAGGAGATGAGGTGAGACCAGGCAGACCCCACATCTCCTCACTGGGATTCCAGGCAGTCACTTTCCACAAGATGCTTCTCAACCTGACTCACTGACAATCTGTCCAGTTCCCACAGCCATCTGTGCTGACAAGTTCCTTGTCAAATGTTCACATCCTGTCATCCTGGCCACGTTTTCTGCTTCAGTCCTATACAGGTGTCATTCTCCCTGCCCCTCACCCCCTAGTAATCATTGTACCACACAGGATTAAGGTTTAGTTTGCTGACAATAGTAGCATCTGCGCACTTTCTACAGGACACAGTGGCTAATCCACTTGGTAAGCAAAGTTTTCTTTTTTTAATTCTTTATCTTATATCACCAGGAAAGTGCACATTTTTTTTTAACTTGATAGGTAATTTTGCACTACTCTATTTTGAAATACTCATTCTAAAAGAATTTTCTCCCATTAAATAAGTATACCCTGATTAATGTCACAACTCTTGACTTCTGCAAATACAATATTTGCAAAGGACTTGGTTTAGGGTCACCTTAAATCTCCAAGGCTAGATTTTAGGGACTCCACCACAGGTTAGTATGTACATTAATCTACTCTTCAGCATTCACATTGTCGAATTTGACAAGCTATATAATATTTAGTTTATTTGCTTTGTCATCTGAGTAACTTATTAATCTTTTTTCTTTTTGGACAGGTTTTCAATGCAGCTGAAAAGCACAATAATGATACTACCTAAAAAACCTGTTCCTGTGGATCTGGTTTTAATAGATTCCCCCAAGTTGTCTCCAAAATAGCAAACAAAGTAGGACTAACAATTGATGCAGCCACTTCACCACAACAAAGACACCTGGACAAGGTGAGCAATCTAGAAGATCTGGCCTCTTGTGCTCTCTACCAGCCACAGAAAATCAAAGTGAATCTCTTGTTGAAGCCCCAGAATTGGTTTTATCAAGCATCTACTCTCTATGCAAGACTCTACTAGGTTGCTCAGGGAACATGAAGGATAAAGATGTTGTTTTGGCCCTCGAGGCCTTACCATCTAGCTGAGAAGCAACAGACAACTACTGTCAGATAGTCCTTGTATTAATTATGTGCTCCGTCCACCCTGCAGCCCCAGCCTACCCCTTCTGTTGCATATACATAATCAACGTATAAAATAAAGCCAGTAGCAACACATACACCTGCACAGCACAGTATGGTAGAGTGAAGACAGTTACACCTTCTCAAAGAACTTTTTTGGCAAAGCATCAAACTTAAAATCCTCATATAGTCAACCTTTTCTCAATCAAGCCAGACTTAACTAAGTTAATGTAGACTTACTTTTGGTAACTGTTTTAGTATATGAAAGTTGTTTTAAATGGGGCTCTAATTCAACAAGTAAATATAAAAGGGAGGGACAAATTGTGGGATGAGGATCAAAAAGATGACATGACAATAAACATCACTGAACATGAAGTATTAGCAGTGCGGATTTAAAACGTTCCTGTGTTATGGTTCTTTGAGAGGTGAAACTATAAGATACTGCCATTCGTTATTTCTGTCTATATTTTAAATGTATTACAATAGATGTGTATTACTTTCCAAATAAAGAAATAAACATTGCATTAAAAAAACAATCTCTTGTAGATGGTCCACGGTTAGATCCCCTTGAGACAGAGGGCTAACTGGAGAAGGTGGCCGTGATGCTTTCTCCACTTCAGTCACCCTGTGGAACGCCTGCTAGAAGGCCTCTGGCTGGCCCCGGTCTATCCTCATGAAACACAGGCTAGGGGTTCTGTGAGGAGGCCAATTCCACCACAACACACAGAACCAAAAAACCAAGTATCGCCACCAGAAAAACAAAGCTTTGAAAAATCTTATACTCTGGTGCTGCAAATGTCGAGGTGGGTGTCAATATGCCAGAATACAGGGATTAACAGCTTATTTAGAAAGAGGACGAGGGTAACTGATTAGTGCCACTAAACTCTACCAGGTGTATGAGTCACAGGGATTCCCGTTTGTAGGGTTGGGAAATCACAGCAACAATCAGTCACCAATTAAAAATTCAAACAGCTCAAATGAAACTAGTTATAACTGCCAAGTATTGTGCGTACAGGTGCAGTTGCATAATCATGTTAACAGAAGTAGATGTAATTCAGTATAGTACCTTTGATGGGGTAGATAAGGTTCTATGACACAACCCTCAGGCTGAGCGATCTTCACCTTTCACAAGCAGTGATCAACCTACTTCAGCTATTTGAATGCACTTTCCACAAAGACCTGAGCTTTACGGGAATTAAGCTGGTGACTCAAGAAGAGGTATTGGTGCCTCTTTGGTAAACTGATACCGTTGGCACATGTTCTGTTACACAATTACACAAAACAAAACCAGTTACTATGCTATAATATTCCTTCCCGAAGCTACTACGAGACTACTTGAATAGACTGGAAACCATCCCTCCAGTTCACTGCGGCATACTAAAAATGCCCCTGTGACAGGCAGGCCTGGTGTCTGCCTGGTCTCCTGTGGA